GGGTTGCGGGGGGAATGGAACCTCCATGGTCCTCGCCGCAGCCATGAAGAGGCGGGGCATGTGATCGAGCGGGAACCGGTCCGGCTCGCACCAGGAGGAAGCCTCGTCGAGCGTGATGAAGGAACCCTGGTCCTCATCACGCTCCTCCTCCTCGACGACGCAGTCTCCCCACTCCCTGGGTGCGCGAGGCAGTTCTAGCGGCACGTACTCCACCTCGAGTTCGTCCTCCTGGGAGGAACCCGGGTGAGCCACCGCGGAGCCAACATACGCCATGCGGCGCTCTCTCTCCTCCCTGGGGAGAGAGAGGCACGCTTCGCAGTCAGCCTCGTCCCCCTGGTAGTGGGATACACCAGGGACGTGCGGTGAGGTTTGTGATTGGGGAGGCACTGACTTTAAAAGTCAGATTTACAATCATTATTCAAATAAAATAGCATTTAATCACCAATGCAATGACATCCACAAACTTTATATACTGTAAAGATAAGAGAACCAGCTTCTTTTAATAATCTCACAACAAATCTAGCTGCTGACTCTGCTCCGCATCAAACAACATCTTTAAGAAGCGCAGGTGCGAGAGACGCGAGGAGAGAGAGACGCGAGGAGAGAGGAGCAGAGAGAGACAGAGAGGAGCAGAGAGACGGAGACGCGAGGAGCAGAGAGAGACGGAGACGCGAGGAGAGAGAGACGCGAGGAGAGAGGAGCAGAGAGAGACAGAGAGGAGCAGAGAGACGGAGACGCGAGGAGCAGAGAGAGACAGAGAGGAGCAGAGAGACGGAGACGCGAGGAGCAGAGAGAGACGGAGACGCGAGGAGAGAGAGACGCGAGGAACATAAACAATAATTTAAACAAGTTGCAGAACTCTTGAGCAGTGTTTGAATCAGTGTTTTTCGGAAAAGCACTACTTTGCCGGTATCTGTCAATGTTCAACATAAAACACAGATTAACAAACTCCTCCCCCGCAGCCGGACTAACCTCGTAAGTCCAGTGGTGGTCTCCCAGTCTATATTAATTCTTTCTTTGTTTGAAAGTCCAATTGAGAAAAAAAATCTTCATTCAAATCATCCATTTTCCAGCAAAAGAAATAGCATTTTGGGCTGATTGTTTGTTAGCAACTCTGGTATGAACTTTATGCTCACTATCACCCCTAGCGGTGAGGCACAGATACCGCCTGCCTCACGCCAAGCTTTTTCCTTGTGTGTTCATCTACGATCAAAAGACTTAAACTAAATATAAATTGTACACACATACGTGCAATACACTACTAAACACTAAGAGGAGTTTAAAAAATGTTTTTAAAGCAGGATATTTGAAACAAACGGTGATATATCAACTGCACGAGCTGAGTGCACTCAGACACACACACACACACTGTGAGGGAGCGGTCTGGGGTGAGGCACGCAGGAGCGCTGCCTCACCTCGTCTCTTTGAATAGGAATAACGGGATTTCGGCGATTTTGACTTCAGAAATGATCAAAACTGATGGGAACCGTGCCGAATATACATTAAAAGCATAGGACAGTGGATATAAATTATATATTTAAACTAAAATAATTATTAGTTTCCAATAATGGCAGGTGAGGCTCTGCCTCCCCTGCCTCCCCTGACTGCACGTCCCTGGGATACACCCAGGCAAAGGAAGCACAGACTGTGCCGGTCCTTGCGGGAGATCCTGGTCCTGCAGCTCCTGCACCGTCTTCGTCCGACGCCGGAGGGCGACGGGGTTCTCGGACGCGACGGGGAAGGAGACGACATCTTCAATCGGTGAGTTATTTTCTTCTCTCAGTGGCGCCAGAGTGAAAAGTGGTTGGTACGGGCCGTAGAGGGCTATTTATAGATGGGACTGGCATGTGATTGGAGCATTTAGTTCTCTCTGGCGGGAAGCTAGGTGCTTCTGGAGTATACCCATAGCGAAGCCTAAGGGGCGTTAGCACCATGATGTAGAATGGTCCTGTATTTGGCTCCATCCATCTTCCCATCAATTTTAGCCATCTTCCCTGTCCCTGCTGAAGAAAAGCAGGCCCAAACCATGATGCTGCCACCACCATGTTTGACAGTGGGGATGGTGTGTTCAGGGTGATGAGCTGTGTTGCTTTTACACCAAACATATTGTTTTGCATTGTGGCCAAAAAGTTCGATTTTGGTTTCATCTGACCAGAGCACCTTCTTCCACATGTTTGGTGTGTCTCCCAGGTGTCTTATGGCAAATTTTAAACAAGACTTTTTATGGATATCTTTGAGAAATGGCTTTCTTCTTGCCACTCTTCCATAAAGGCCAGATTTGTGCAGTGCACGACTGATTGTTGTCCTATGGACAGACTCTCCCACCTCAGCTGTAGTTATCTGCAGTTCATCCAGAGTGATCATGGGCCTCTTTTGGCTGCATCTCTGATCAGTCTTCTCCTTGTTTGAGATGAAAGTTTGGAGGGATGGCCGGGTCTTGGTAGATTTGCAGTGGTCTGATACTCCTTCCATTTCAATATAATTGCTTGCATAGTGCTCCTTGAGATGTTTAAAGCTTGGAAAATCTTTTTGTATCCAAATCCGGCTTTAAAATTCTCCACAACAGTATCTCGGACCTGCCTGGTGTGTTCCTTTGTCTTCATGGTTCTCTCTGCGCTTTAAACAGAACCCTGAGACTATCAAAGAGCAGGTGCATTTATACGGAGACTTGATTACACACAGGTGCATTCTATTTATCATCATCAGTCATTTAGGACAACATTGGATCATTCAAAGATCCTCACTGAACTTCTGGAGTGAGTTTGCTGCACTGAAAGTAAAGGGGCCGAATAATATTGCACGCCTCACTTTTCAGTTTTTTATTTGTTAAAAAAGTTTAAATTATTCAATAAATAATAATTTATTACGCTAGTTTTGAGCGCGGCATTTATCAACAGCCGCAGGTGCGTACGCTCAGATCTGTGCGTAACTCACACGTTCATAAATGCCACGTCGGATCTTGCATAAATGGAATATACACCCAAATAAACACCCTTTTCTGCGCAACTTTCATACATGAGGCCCACTGTCCCTTTTAATGCACAGAATAGGACATGTAGCAAAGTAGCTGCGTTAGTCTACATCAGGCCCGTGAAGAAGACAAGCAAACAACAATTTTGCATGGCCTGTCTGCATTTGTTGTTAGCCAGATGGCTAGGGAAGTGCTTTTCGGCCAAATGATTGACATGTCCGTGTAGCCAATTAGGAAAGCTTTCTAGCAAGGGGTGTTACATTGGGGTGCTGTGTTTATTTGTGTCAGTACAAGCGTGCGCAACAGCAGGGAGAGAGAGAGCGCTCTCGAGCAGCGCATATATTATATGAATTTACACTCATACAAAAATATTTTTTAATAAAAAAAAATAATCACACAGAGGAGTAACTTGTAAGTACCAAAAATAAAAATATGTTTTTTATGATGATGAAATGTCAGTAAAGCAATTTGGCACAAAGTGTGCCAACTTGGTTCCGAATGGCACTACTTGATGAAAAAGAGAAACTGCATAAAAACTATAAAACTTAGAAGTCTGAAACTTAAGACAGGTGTTACCAACAACACAATGAAGTATGCCTTTTTTAGGGCCTTTAGAAATTGAAAATTTTAGGCAATGCTAAAAAAATAGTTTTTTTTTCCCAAACTTCAAAGTATGCAGAGTGAAATAGGAATGACAAACATTATTTTAGTGTATATTTACATAAACTAGACGGCTCTAGCTTTAATTTGATGCATCACACAAACATGTGACATGTAAGATGTTTTTTTAAATAAGCAAAGACATTTGGGTATGCCCAACATTTGTGCACAAGCCAAAGTGAGGCGGGTGTTAAGAGGTTTGTTAATAAAACAAAACATACTTCTTTTTTTTTTATTATTTATTTCATTCATTCAAAAGTGACATCATGCAATCACCACACCATACTGTATTTGTATTGTATTGTTTTTGGGGGTTTTTTCTATTATGAACAAATGAATATAAAGTATTCATTCATCATGAATATGAAAATCAGTGACTGAAATTCACAGACAACAATATGGAAGATGTTAAAAAATTCAAATAGATCCAGGTCCATTTAAAATTTAATTTCTGATGAAACAAATAATCTGTCTTTTTTTTTCATTGTAAAAATTCAAGCTCATTTAAAGATGCAGTCAGTGATTTTTTCCAGACGCATGTTTTTTAAATATTGTGGGAAAACGTTCCTAAATCCTAAAAGCAGTCAACTTATGTGTTTTCAAACATTAATAAAAATGACCAGATGCCTATAGTCTCCAAAAATGTATAAAAAGTATTTTGGAGCGGACCGATAAAAATAAACCAGTGGAATTTGTTCATCCCCAACTTACCAATGGGATGTGTTTATCCCCTTCACCCTCTGAGTTATCGGATTTTCTAAAACCTTAAATGACTGAACAGAAAATGCCAATTTCATGTTTGCCACCCACTCTCCCTGTTGTGACAAGGAAAAGAAAATGCTGGATGTTTGTTTTAGTGGAGAGGCGAGGGGGGGGGTTTCGAGTTGGTGCTACGGCTAAGCTAACAAAATTGCTTACTGCACCTTTAAAATTCAAAATCTGACACAAAAAATCTTCCGTAGTGGACTTTGAATAATACCATGAGGAACAACTTCTGACCAAGCTCTGCTTGTGGGGAGAAAAAAAAGATTAAAACGGTGAAAAAGGTGACGAGACATGCACATCCAATCTAAAAAGAGTCTCAAACATGAGAATAGATGTGTATCTCTGTATGTGTCTGTGTGTGTGTGTCACCAGCCACACATGAAATCCCAGCAGGTGGATTGCATCCGTAATCGGTGGAGCTGCAGGAAACAGAGTGATTGTAAAAAGTTTATTAAACCACTAAGAGCAGGCTACTCACTGTCCATTGAACCATAATACATTTACACAACTGTCAGACTGGTCTCACTGTTGTGGTCTCATTGGTACATGCAGTCATGACAACTGTGTTAGTGAGAAGCTTTGATCTTTCCTTTCATATCCTCAGGACATTGTGAGCGTGACCAAATCTCTTCTGAAGGCCAGTGGAGACGTGGCTCTGGCGTTTGAAATCCTCCGTAACCCGTCCTGCTTCTCTGGACCAGTCTGGACTCAGGTCGACAACCAGCGCTTGAGCTCCATGGATCCGGAGGCACGACAGGATCTGCTGACCAAATATGGTGAAGAGAGCGTGGCCAAAAGGATGCTATTCCTTGAGTAATGTCATGTGATCTCTTAATATCTGGTTTTAACTCGGACTCAACTCAACTCTGGGCTCTTGGCTCTTGACCCTGGGCTTTATGCTCTGGACTCATCTCTAGACTCAGACTCTGAACTGTGTTCTGGGCTCTGGACTCTGTGTTCTAGGCTCCCGGTACTGGAATCAGTACTCCGTATTCTGGACTCTGGGACTGGGAACAGCGGAGGGGTAGCAGAAGAACCACCTCACTTCACTGGGGATGTTCACAGATTCGAGGGTAGACTAATAAAACTTTAGAGTTAAACTCAATCTATTTAAAACTGTAATTTTCCCAGATGTGTTTCTTTACAAAGTTGTTTTTTGTTCATGTTTAATTCTTTTTAATCTCTGAGCACCACTTAGCCCCACTCCTCTATCTATATGGGAGCTCCACTCTGAAGGAGACTCATGTGAACTGCTTGTATCCATGAGCTCATCCTTACGGTCATTAACCAAACTACCCCTCGGCAACACTACATGCATGCGAATACCATATTCCGTCAGACCTCTGAAGCTGTTCAGGGCAGGGTTTAGTATTGTGATGGGAAACCGCTGGGAACATCATGTAAGTGTCAAACTGTCATTTTGTCCTTAGGCACCTCACCCACATTGCCTAGAATGAGTCTGTGTGTGCATGAATGGGTGGTGGTGGTCGGAGGGGCTGATGGCACATACTGTTTGTGTCGCTTCTGTCAGTGTGCCCCAGGGCAGCTGTGGCTACAGTAGTAGTTTACCACTGCGTAAGGAGTGCCCTGAAGAGTGCCATATAAAACCAATGCGTTATTAGGCCCGAGCCCCGAACGGGGAAAGGGCCTATTGTTTTTGCCCGAGAGATGTCAAATTCTGCACTTTGACCCTTAATTTGACCCCCTGAACATGCATGAAAAGTTGTAACATTTTGCCCAAACATCAGACCTGGTGAAAATTTTTATGGGACTCAAAAAATGTCAGAACAGCGCCACCTACAACAGCCAATGGGAGTTTCAGAGGTCAAGTTTGTCGTAGCCATGACATTCGGTACACATGTTTCTCAAGTCAAGATAAGACCAAAATGTTACCATGGCTCCGCCCTCTGACAAACCGGAAGCCCATAAATTTCACTGCAAAATGGAAAAATGATCCGCAATCATTTTCATACATGTCGGTTGGAAAGCGGCGACTCCTCGGCCGTTTCACCAATTTGCCTCAAAATTGCTCCACATCATCTCAACACATGTACGATCAAAATGACCAAAGGGATTTTTGATCAGTGAAAAGTTGTTTGAGCAGCGGAGCGGGAAAATGTGAGTGTTTTTTGGCCGTTTTTGACAACATTAATTTTGCTCCCGTTTGCACAAACAAAGTCTGATTTGAACAAAACTTTAATCCAATGTTCAACTCCAGGGTTTAGGTCAGGTGAAAGTGAAATATTTGAAATTGGCCCATTAGCGCCCCCTACAGATTGAGGCAAAGTTTTACAAGGGGTGCCAAACAGCTCTAATTATCATATTCATTACAATTTGACTAACGTTCTTCTATGGCAACAGAAACAAATCATCACACGGCGGCCCCACCTCCTTTGCGCGGTGCTGCGTGGTACGGTGTGGTGCGGCGTAGTGCGGGGCGTTGTGGAGTGGCGCGTTGCGGCTTGGTGCGGGGCGGCTTGATGCGGGGCCGCTTGGTGCGGGGTGGTGCGCGCGGTGCGGAGTGTTGCTCGCGGTGCGGGGTGGTGGGCGCGGTGCGGCGAGGGCCGTTTGACGCCGCTTGCGGCTTTAATTATTATTATTGTTATATAGAGCTCTGACTGCAGACGCTGCATCGATCCGTCTAAAAACATGTAATATGAATACAGCAGGGTCATACGGTCAAAATTAAAAACAAGTGAAGTTACGGACAGCAGCTTTAAACAAAATCAAGAGACTGAATGTATCCAATCCACCTTTATTGATTTCCTCCAGAACAGCCATTATCCCAGACCATAATAATATCAAGACAACAAACATAGATTCTCTGTAAACCTCCCACAGATTCAAACCATAACATAACAAAGCATTAGATTCAGTGCTAGAAGAAGCTGACTGCAAACGAATAATACAAACCCCAAAGCTGTGCTGAGGAAAAGAAAATCGTAAAAAACCCTTAGTAAGAAATATAGACATCTGCGTTCTGAAGTTCAAGCTGAAGATAATTCAGAATCCTGTGAACAGTGTGTATGTGTGTTACAGAGCACACAGCGTTGTTTTGTTGTCAGGTCAGACAAGATCAGCAAAACATTAAAACCACCAATGGATGAAACGCACATTAAACATGGTGGCTTCATGGAATATTGTTAGAAATTGGGGAAATATTTATTAGTGCTTTCTCTCATTAACTAAAACTCGACCAGAAATGGACACTCCTAAAGCTGGGGCACGTAACTCTCCCCATCATTAATACAAGTTGTTTGTCCCAACAGAAAGAGTACAATGTTGTGAACAAATCAAACCATAACATGCTGTCTTCATGTTATTAGATTAGATTATCATTTTGTGTAAAAAGAGCCTTGTGAGTCACTATTTGACTCTTTTTACAGAGAGCTGATTGGCTTGTGGTCTGCTCTTTTTCACTTTTCTGTCTGAAAAAAACTTGATCTAAAGATGTGACTGGCCAGCAATACATGTATGTGAAAACTTTTATGTGTTTGGTTTGAAAGTTACGTAACCCAGCTTTAAATGGGTAGGAGGTGGTCATAATGGTTTATTTGAGAAGATAGGAAACTCTGCTTCTCGTAGATGCCCCACCCTGGTAGTTATAGGGCAGAAAGTCAGGGCCTGGTTAGTACATGGATGGGAGACAATACCAGGCAGTGTTTGGGGAGTGTATAAGTATTAATGTATTTATCACAACAGTAAGGTTTCTATGCCTTTGGATGAATTAGCAAAGAGAGTAAATGTCTGTGTGTCTCTGTACGTGCGTTATGTGTGTGTCCCTATGTGCATGCAAGTGTCTTTCTGCATGTGTGTATCTATCTTTGTATGTGTCTGTGTGTGTCACCATCCCCTCATGAACATTGATTTTTAAGTCAGAATGTTACGTAGATAATTAAGCTACATGTTTGAGCAAGAAGTTCCTGATATCAGCATGGATGGATCTAAAAACAGCTCCAGGGGGTGGTGGCCTCAAGAACAGTTACAGCCCTTTAAACTCCATTAGCTTTAACACAGCTCTGTCTCTGATCAGGAAGATTTCACATCCGCAGAAAAAAGGAAACAACATTATCATGGATCATCCACACACTCTAAAACCATGGGACACAAAAAGCCCAGAACATTCATAACACACATCAAAATAATGAAAGTATTATATCTACATTTGCCGAGAGTGCACGATTACAGAAAATGGGATAAAAATATAGCTTCTGTTTTGCAGTTTTAAAAAAGATAAGAAAAAGCCCTGCCACATGCTACAGTAAGGCCAGTTATTTACAGTGTGGATCAGAAGCACTGTGACCTGGAATAACAACATCTGCTGTTTTTGAGAGTTCTTCGTCGGTCTTTTCATCATTCAGGCCAACTGTGTACATTCAAACAAAGCATTTTTTTACACTGTGGAAAAAGGTCTTTAACATCGTTTGGCTTTTTTTGTTGTCGTTTTCTGGTGGAAGTTTCTGTCCATGGTGAGGCAGCAGTGACAGTCTAGCGTCACAGGCTTTTCATCACTGCGGAGACCTTTGAGTTGTTCTGTGTGTGGCCTGGGAGCCTGGATTTACAGCCTCAGTCCTGGATCGACAGCCTGTCCGTTCAGATCCCTCTCTCAATATGGGCCTGAGATTTCTCACTTTTCCCCACTGGGTTTCCAGTCCTCGATCTACAGCCTCAGTTCCGAATCTATAAACTCAGTCATCCCGCTCCCGAACCAAGGGAGCGTTATTGTTTGTTATTATTGTATTTCCTGTGTTTGATTCTCTGATCTGTTGTTGGGGGATCCAGAACTTTGTAAAGTCCTCCGAGACAACAGCTGTTGTGATTTAGAGCGAGGCGCAAATACATTTGTCAATTGAGTGTGCTAATACAAATAAGCTTGTCCTGTCTCCCAAAGCAAAATGTCAAAACACAATTGGATTATTCTCTACAATAACATCTAAAACATCCCCATGGAGCGTGGGGCGGAACTTCCACCAGAAAAGTTTTTTTCAACAACAAAAATTGCAGTAAAACCATCAGTAAGTTCTGCTTTAAGGCCTTAATGACGAGCATGAACCATAAACCTGGACCAGAGAGAACAGGTCCAGAACTACAGCTGAACATGTGCATCAGACAGCTGTGCTCTTTCCCTTTTGTCTTGCACCATTCAGGATCTGGCAACCTTTAATCTATGGGTCAGTGATGTCCCCTCAGCCTCAGCCCTCTTCTCAGCCTCCGGCCGTCTTTCCCTCGGCCCCCTCTCACTTCCGCCTGCTCTCCCCTCCCCTCAGTCCCCTCCCGCCTCAGCTCACAGCAGGTCCTGGATCCTTGTCTGAGATCTCATCCTGGATGTCGTCAGTGTTCCCTGAGTCAGAGGAGCGGGAGCTGCAGGAAGGGGAGCTGCGACCGCCTTTGATCATGCGCCGGCAGGTCTCCATCTGTACGTCCAGCCCGCGCTTCATGGAGCACATCTCCATGTACTCGTGCAGGTGCCGTGTCATGTCACTCTTTGCTGTTGCCAGCTCCATCTGAGGAAGAGACAACCAGTCAGATCACCTCAGTACAGATCCCCTCAGTGCAGATCCCCTCAGTACAGATCACATCAGTTCAGATCGTTTATTTGAGCTGAGAGCAACACATACAGTTAATAGTGTATGCATTGTGGAGCGCCCCAGGGGTTGATCCTGGGACCTCTTCTGTTCAGTCTCTACAGGCTGCCGGTCACTTAATACTATATAAGTGACCGTCATCACTGTTTGTGGAATGATTGGAACAATATCTGAACATTGTAAAGCGCTTTGGGTGACCTTGGTCTGTAAAATGTGCTGTATAAATAAACATTACAAAAAATATATGGCATACACATGGGCCAGACTCAGTCATGCAAGTGAACACGGATCAGTCATAAAGGAGGACATGGTCTCAAGTCTGTCCTGAAGAAATATAATTTCCCTATTTTAGCATACCGTGATTATTCATGATTGTATGTGTATTTTCTTGTTTTGTTCAGCTCTTTGAGTTGCCTTGTGTATGAACTGTGCAGTACAAATAAACTAAATCCGTCAGATTGACATGGATACATGATTCATGTGCTCTGTCCCAGTCAAATAAAAAAATAATTAAAAAAAGAAATGTTTTGTAATCATACTAAATAACAGATTTAGTACAGTGCTGTGGCAGGGGTCATGAACCCCTTAAACCCTGCTCTGACCTCAATCTGCCCGATGGTTTGCTGGTACTCCTGCTCTCGCGTCTTAAACAGAGACTCTGTTTCATCGATGAGGCTCCCGAGGCTGCCGTCCTGAGACTCCTGACAACACATAGAATATACACATATCAGATTAAAGCTTAGGTACCTGACTTTCAGTTAATTCACTGTTTGTCGCAAAAGAAAGGCACAAGTAAAATATAATGAACAAAACTGCCTTCATCTGATCTAAATCTTCATGTGTATTACAATTACAGCAGGATGATGGGCTCGGGCTGCAGCACTCACGGGGTCAGGAAGGTCACCGTTCTGGTCGCTGGGGGTGGGGCCTGTTGTCACAGCGACAGCGTTGGGCACGTTATAGTTGGTGAAGTCCTCCCACAGTAGCAGTGTGTCCTCGTTTTCCTCCCATGTCAGGCTGTCGCAGTCGTCGTCAATATCAAACGTCTCCCGCCTGACAACACACGAGTTATCTGAGCCATGGCTGCAGAGGGAGGGAGAGGAGGGACCAAGGACAGATGGAGGGGGGCAGGTAAGGGGCCAAGGACAGAGGGGGAAATGGGAAGGACAGGAAGGACCAAGGAGGAGAGGGAGGGGGAGAGGGGAAGGAGATGAGGGACCAAGGAAACAAGAATAGTGGTTGTAAGGGAAGAAGGGACCAGGAAAGGACGGTGCAAGGACACAAGGGCACAGGGAAGGAGACGAAACAAAGAAAGAACAAAGGTCACAGCCACAAGACTCAACACTTAAACAAACGAGAGACACACAGAGAAACACCACGAGCAACATAGAGACACAGAGTCCAGATATTATACTGAATAAAGACTGGTGATAATAAGTCACAATATTAGTCCAGCAGAACCTGCTCATGAGATGGACCTCAGGTACCCCTCAGCTCCAGGTCTACAATGCTCTATCATGGTCTGTGCTCATTGCTGCATTCTCAATCTCAAAGATCAGCAGAAGATTTTCGCATTTTGGCTTGTTGTGATCCTGTGCAGTCAGAGCGACGCATTCTGATCATATAACATGAGCCAATTAGAGTGGGACAATAATGAATTTATAGAAAAACAGATGGATTCAAAGTTCATGATGAAAGACTGAAATACCCACAAACTCCATCCTGTCTCTTTCAGTTCACACTAAGGTCTATGGGTATGTTAGCTAAAGAAAATGTCTCAGCATTTTTTTTATTTTTTATTATTGGTTCACAGCATAAACACAGAGAATAGACTTTGGAGCAGCTCTGCTTGTGTATGAGTCCAGAAACAAGACACATGTCAAAAACATGTAGTCTGAGGATTCTTCAGACTGAAACAATTTTGAAAAGAGCAATTAGACAGGGGGCAGAGGGACATGTTTGTAATGCAAAAACAATGTTGTAATACTGCTCATGTCTCGTTTGCAACACAAACATGCAATATTTCACATAACCACTAGGGGGAGACACAGGAGAGCAGAGCAACATCACAACACTGAAGGGGACCAGGAGACCTCAGTAGACCTCAGTAGACCAGAAGGTCAGGGGACCTGAGGACCAAGAGATCAGAAGTCCGGAAACCAGGAGAGCAGAAGACCAAGGGAGACACTGAGACTAGAAAATCAGGGTAGTCTCTACACAAACACAACTCACAACTGGAAGAGCATCCGCTTCATTTCGTCCGTGATGTTGAGCGAACCAGGCATCTCCACGTCTGTGGGACTGGGCTCTGCGTCCATCTCAGAACACTCCTCATCAGACGTGACTTTTCGCTCTTTCCTCCTGCAGCTGGCTGAAGTAGCAGCAGCATTAACAGCAGCAGAAGAAGCAGCCCCCTGGAAATACACAATATTACGTTACAATTGACCACATGTGGCGATGGTGTGTGTATATACAGTGCCTTGCAAAAGTATTCACCCCCATGGCTTTATACCTATTTTGTTACATTACAGCTTTTAGTTCAATGTTTTTTTAAACTGACTTTCATTTGATGGATCAGAAAACAATAGTCTAAGTTGGTGAAGTGAATTGAGAAAAATATATACATAAAACTGTTTTTCAGAAATAAAAAAATTGAAATTGGTATGTGCATATGTATTCACCCCCTTTGTTATGAAGCCCATAAAAAGCTCTGGTGCAACCAATTACCTTCAGAAGTCACATAATTAGTGAAATGATGTCCACTTGTGTGAAATGTAAGTGTCACATGATCTGTCAGTACATATACACACCTTTTTTGAAAGGCTTCAGTGGCTGCAACACCTAAGCAAGAGGCACCACTAACCAAACACTGCCATGAAGACCAAGGAACTCTCCAAACAAGTAAGGGACAGTGTTGTTGATAAGTGCAACTCATGTCTCTCGGTTTAAGTGTTGCCATGTGTAAACGGATTTTTAGCTTTTTAACTGACAGATCTCAGAGAGTGAAAATCAATGACTGTTTTTATGATGTTGTTTCTGTGAGCACTGGATCTCCTCAGGGATGTATTTTGAGTCCTTTACTTTTTACATTGTACACTCATGATTGTGTGTCTTCATCTGACTCAAACCTGATCATTAAATATGCTGATGATACCACCGTCATCGGTCTCATCAGTGACAATGATGAATCCTCTTATAGAGCAGAGATACAATATGTGGTTCAGTGGAGTAAAACTAACAACCTAACCCAACCGAAAACATGTGAACTGGTCTTCGACTTCAGTCGTGACAGTTCTCACACTTCTGTTGCTATTGACAACTCCTAAGTGCAGATTGTAGAGGAGTGCAAGTTTCTGGGTTTAACTCTGTCTGATGACCTGAAATGGGTTAAAAACACTGACCGAGTCATTAAGAAAGCTCCTGAGCTCCTGCGAAAACTTAGAGAATTTACGACTAACTCTAAGATTCTGCTTAACTTTTATTGCTGCACCATTGAAAGTTTACTTGTTGGTTCTGTGTCTGTGTGGTTTGGAAACATCACAGATACAGAAGAAGCTTTAAACAAGGTGCTCCGCTCTGCAAAGAGGACCGTGGGCTGTGAGCTTCCTGTTCTGGAGGTTCTTTATAAATCCAGACTTTTAAACAAAGCTCTTAGGATTGTCAATGACTCTTCTGGCCACCCTGGAAAAGCCATGTTCCAGCTTCTTCCCTCTGGCAGAAGATATCGCTCTCTGAGATGCAGGACATCTCGTTATGCAAACAGCTTTTTTCCACAAGCTGTTATCAGTTTGAACAGAGCACTTTAATGATTTGCACTTGTTTTGAAACTGTTTTAGCCGATCGATTTCACAGTGACACTTGTTTACTGTTTTATTTGTTATATTTCTGTCTTTTAATGTTGTGTTATGTCTGTATTTGTCTGTGCACACTGGAGACTTACACTTATTCCAATGTGTTTTTTTTTACTGCAAATGGCAAATAAACTGAATCTGAATCTGAACTAAAACTACAATATATAATATTTGATACACCTCTGTATCACTGGCTTCTACCTCTGTTACCAACTCGGACTTACAGTCAGTGCTGTTGTCGATCGTTTTCTTACTAGACCTTTGCCTGTTAGCAATTACAATCGCTGGGACGCTCTGTCTGGCTGTTAGAGGTGTTAAAATTCCGAGAAAGGGCAGGCTCCTTTTGTGGCACCGGCACCTGCCACAGCTGATCAGTGGCATGTACACAACAAATGGCGTTTAAAACGGCATGTGGACAACAAGTGGCGTGTAAAGCGGCATGTGGACAACAAGTGGCGTTTAAAACGGCATGTGGGGAATAAATGGCGTGTAAAGCGGCATGTGGACAACAAGTGGCGTTTAAAACGGCATGTGGACAACAAGTGGCGTTTAAAACGGCATTCGGGGAACAAATGCCGTTTAAAACGACATGTGGGAAATAAATGGCGTTTAAAACGGCATGTGGACAATAAATGGCCTTTAAAACGGAATGTGGACAATAAATGGCGTTTAATACGGCATGTGGGCAATAAATGGCGTTTAAAACGGCATGTGGGGAATAAATGGCGTGTAAAACAAATACAGTTGAAAGCAGCCTGTACAAAAGACAACAAGCAGCAGAGATAGTGGTCCAGTGGCTCAGATGGAAAAGCACAGGTCTACTGTGTTGATGGTTGTTAGTTCAAATCCCCAGTGACTACCAATGACATATGCTGATGTTGGGTCCTTGGGCATAACACTTCATGGAGAATGTCAGAAGTGCCATAAATTGTTTGAAAAATGTAGTTTGAGTTATAATAAATTAAATTTAAAATTTGTTGAAAGACTTAATTTCATGTGTTATATGTGGTTTAGATTCTGGAGAACTGTATATTCCTGTGGCGCACTTGGTTTATAACTGTCTCTCATCCGGAAGATACCTGGTTCAATTCTAGGTCTGGTCTTTATTTTTTTTTTGTCAGATTAAATACAAATTGAATATGTATGAATATATATTTCATACATATGGTTATGTGTTGTTCCAATAGTAATCTTGCATTAGGATTAATATTGCATCATCGTTAGGGTAAAACTAAATGATGTGTAAAACACTCAAGACACAATTTTACTTAAAACCACCTGGTGAGTGGTATAGCTTGTGTGTGTCCGCCAATCATGCAAGAGTTCGCAGATTCAAATCCAGCGAAGAGCAAAAACTTTTTTATGACAGTTATTTCTTTATACATATATATCTTTATATATATATACAGTTTTTATATAACTGCCATAAAAAAAAACGGTACTTTGATTTGATCTGCCAATCTTACGCACTATAGACGAATGTTTAATGACTGCGCCACTTATTTTGTGTTTTGGCAAAGAAAAAACCGAAATATTCTATTGTTGTTTTAGGACATTTCATCAAGAATGGAGCCAACCAAAGATGGTGAATAGTGATGGATTGAAAAATACAAGCAGAAAGTTGTGTAATTGGAACATGAGGTTTCATCTCTATATTGTTAAAATCTTCATTTCTGTTCTTGGACCGTTTAAGCTGTGTCTTATACTTTGCATTCTTTTATAAAAAAATATATGTATTAATGCTCTTTCTTATTGTTCCATGTTTCTGATGTGGTTTTATTAAAGAAGAGAGAGAAATAAAATGATTTTTTCTTTTGTTTTATATATATATATATATATATATATATATATATATATATATATATATATAGTCATACATATTAAATTTGTATTTAATCTGACAAAGACCTGTCCTGGATTAGAACCAGGTATCTTCCGCATGAGAGGCAATTATAAACCAAGTGTGCCACTGGATGATGGAGCTCATTTTGGAATTTAAACTATATATAATACATGAAATTAAGTCTTTCAACAAATTTATGCAATAACATATATTATTATTACTCAAACAAAATTTTTCAAACAATTTATGGCACTTCTGACATTCTTCATGAAGTGTTAGGCCCAAGGACCCAACATCAGCAAATGTCATTGGTAGTCACTGGGGATTTGAACTAGCAACCATCAGAACCGTAGACCTGTGCTTTTCCAGCTGAGCCACTGGACCACTAACTCCACTGATGCTGCTTGTTGTCTTTTGTACAGGCTGCTTTCAACTATATTTGTTGCCCACGTGCCGTTTTAAACGCCATTTATTCCCCACATGCCGTTGTAAACGCCATTTATTGTCCACATGCCGTTTTAAACGGCATTCATTGCCCACATGCCGCTTTACATGCCATTTATTCCCCACATGCCGTTTTAAACGCCACTTGTTGTCCACGTGCCGTCCTGTTATTCACGCGGGTGGTAATGACTAGGGATGTAAAAAACTATGAATTTTCATGGCCGACCACCGAGCCTCATTAACCGGTTGAAACCGGTTAACCACGTAGTTTAAAATAGTCCACGTTCTTTGAAATAACAGCCATTTCGAGCCGCATACTTCTGAGCAGCTCTGCGTTCTAGTGGATCAGAGCCGAGACAGCGGCAGATAACTGCTTTTTTAATCTTCCCATTCTGCTGTGCTGCGGGTTTGGGCTCCGTGACATAGACGAGCGCGACAGACCGGTATGTGTGTGTGTACAATACATGTATGTGTGTATGTGTGTGTAAATATAAGCTCCAATGTCGTTCTGACCTTCACCAGTGTGCAACTAGCAGGTGGTAACAGAGGGAAGAGATGATGCGTGTGGATGTTACGTATCAATGGAGGGGGGGAAAGTGTGTGTTCACGAATGCATTGGCGCACACAGCTAGAGACAGACCCGCTCGTCATATCGTGCGAATAGGGCGTGTTGAAGCTGCAAGTCGCAGCCGTGTACAAGCTGGCTAGCACAATGGTCGACACTGTCATCTTCTCTGGGCCCCTCCCTAGCACTGGCAGTGCAGAAGCATTCAGCAGACACTCGGCTTTCAACCACTGGCTGTCTAGCTGGTGCCCTCGACGTGGTGTTGTTCATGTTGACAATTGGAGTGCCTTTTGGGGAAAGCCCGGTCTCATCCGCTCCGATGATATCCACCCAACGTTGGCGGGTACATCCCTTTTGGTTACGAATTTGGCCCTTTGGTTAAACTCTTCTAGCCGGCTCAAATGACGGTCCAGAACAGAGGCCCGGGTGCAGAGCTGCTCTGCCACAACCTCTGAGCCCCCATCTGTTCAGTCACTTGCCTCAGAACCTAGTCAGATTGAAACTGTGTGTGCCTCGCTTGAAGTCTAAAGCACTATACGCGAGGAAATCTGACTTGGGTGTCAGTCACGCTAACCTTATAAAAGTTCAGATAGACCAAAATAGTTCTAAAAGTAGGGTTGTTAAATGCGGATTAATGAACGTCAGATCAATTTTGTCTAAATCGCTTCTTATGAACAAACTTATTAAAGACAACAACTTGGATTTATTTGC